GGGACGAGACTAATCAGTCACTAAAAACAACAACAGACTGCACCAATACCATTACTACTGAACCGGTAAACCCTAAAACCCTAAACACTAAAACCCTAGAATCGTTCTACCAGATGTATTCGTATCAACCAAACTGGAGTCGGTGCATATAAACCTTAAAACCCTATATAACCTATACATTGTAAGCGCCGACTCTCTAACGACTGGCGCGTGCTGCTGTCACTCGTCTCGTTCGGTGTGGAATTGAAATAGACACACCTACTGCTACATCTCCACCCCTTCCCATGTACCACGCCTACCTACGTTAACCCTGCCACCGATACATATACCCTATAGCCCATCACACTCCATTAGCCCCATACACCACAACTAACCAGCTTCCAGCACCCCATACCTTACACATCCCCTTCCCATATACCACACCTATCTACAATAACCCAACCCCTGATACCCTAAACCTTATCACACTCCAATATCCATACCCACCACAAACCCCCAGCATCCCAGCACCTCATACCTTGCCCATGCAGACAAAAACACTAAAACACTAAGACTTGCGTGACTCTCCATCCCCCCCATCGCGTGTAGTGGTAGATATGACGCTGTTGCTGCTGAGCTCGTCTTCCTCCATCAGGTCACTGCCCATCTTCTCCGCAATGGTTGATTTGCTCGAGAGGGGGTGCCTCCGTGACTCGTTGCGGTTGTCCTCCAGACTACCGGTGGATTGAATTCTGAACCGGCGGGTGTGCACGTGGTGAGAGAATGTATGCAACGGTATGCTATAGTCGCGCCATGTGTATGTGAAAGTAGATGAGGGTAGACACACTGTGTGGGTTGACAGGTCAGTGAAGTAGATAAGGGTAGACACGCTGTGTGGGTCGACAAGTCAGTGAAGTAGATAAGGGTAGACACACTGTGTGGGTTGACAGGTCAATGAAGTAGATGGGGGTAGACAAACTGTGTAGGTTGACAGGTCAGTGAAGTAAATAAGGGTAGACACGCTGTGTGGGTTGACAGGTCAGTGAAGTAGATAAGGGTAGACACACTGTGTGGGTTGACAGGTCAGAGAAGTAGATGAGGGTAGACACACTGTGTGGGTTGACAGGTCAGTGAAGTAGATAAGGGTAAACACACTGTGTGGTTTGACAGGTCAGTTGTACTTAAGAGGTCTTGTGGACGGTCATACTTGAGTAGCTTACGATAAATGAGGGAGGCAGAGGTTTCATGGGAGACTATAAGTTTACAAGTTCAGATTCCTGTGCATACAGACTTTGAGAGAAAAACAAAAGGAATATGTATACATTTGAAAATATAAATATAT